GGACCAGCCATCATGCTTACAACTGCATCATGGCCCTTAGAGACTCTGTTCATCAATCTCACTTTCTAAACAGTTGCCTATTTAACTATCTTAATAGTATTAGAGATTTTCAAAATGGTGAGTTGAAAAGCTGCCCCATGACTGAGTTTACTTCCATTCATAAACCAAAGAAAAATTAACTATAAGTTTAGAATTTTTAAAGAATTGGAAATAAATGATAAAAAGTTAAATACATAACACTTTGATTCAAGAAAGTTATAAATGAATTAAGAATCCAAACGAATTTGGAATATTGAAACTTTTACTATAATTTGAAATAAGTATATAAAATAAACAGTTTTTTGAAAATTGTTTTATCTATCTTAAATGGTAAGAAAGATTCGAGATTTTATGATTTCAGAAACTGGATAAAGAGGGAATTAAAAATTCCAAACAAAAAAAGGAAAGGGGATTAAAAGTATAAACTTGCCTCTGGTTTCTGATTAGTATGGTATTTACAAAACAACATTAAAACACTGAAAATATTCCAGGAGATTTTTAAAGAATTAATCCAGAAATTAGTCGCTATGATGTCAGAATGACGTCTGTTTCTATAAACTAGGTCCAAAAATGTTAATGAAGTAATAACAGATATGAAACAATTTTTGCCTGATGTAGAAATATTAGAACCAGAAAAATTAGATAAACAAAAAAAGTGGGTTGTAAGACAAAGAAGGCAGCTTGGAACAGAAGAACAAATGACAAGCCAAGAGAATGATTTGGATAAAGATTTTCTACTGGATATACAAAAGATTTTGGTTGAAATTTTAACATTCAAAGGCCTTCCATCCTTTAATAATAATTATTATTATGTTATAATAAACCAAGAGTATAACCTGGATGATACTGTACTTACAAAAGAGATTTGCTAAAGCTCCAAAGAAGCCATTGAAGCCATCTTGAAGTCTTAGTGGACAACCAGCTAAATATGAGCCAGCAGTGTGCAGCAGCAGCCAAAAAAACTAATGCAATCCTAAACTGCATTAACAGAGGGATACAATCAAGTTCAAGGGAAGTACTAATACCACCTTATAAAGCCTTAGTAAGACCACACCTAGAGTACTGCATCCAGTTTTGGTCACCACATTATAAAAAAGATGTTGAGACTCTAGAAAAAGTACAGTGAAGAGCAACCAGGATGATTAGGGGACTGGAGGCTAAAACATATGAAGAACGGTTACAGGAACTGGGCTTGGCTAGTCTATTGAAGAGAAGGACCAGGGGAGACATAATAGCGGTCTTCCAATATTTGAAGGGCTGCCACAGAGAGGGAGGGGTCAAGCTATTTTCTAAAGTGCCTGTAGGCCAGACAAGGAATAATGGATGGAAACTGAACAAGGAGAGATTCAATCTGGAAATAAGGAGAAACTTTCTGACAGTGAGAAAAATCAACAAATGGAACAGCTTGCCCTCAGAAGTTGTGGGACTCAGTTGAGACCTTCAAGAAGAGATTGGACTGCCACTTGTCAGAAATGGTAGGTTCCCCCACTTGGACGGGGGTTTGGACTAGATGACCTATAAGGTCTCTTCCAATTCTGATTATTTGTTATCTGTAACAGCATTCGCCAACTAGTGGGCCAAAATTTTGGTGGGCCACAGAGAAATCTCACACCCAGAGCATCCTCCCCCCAAAGCAATTAATCCAGGTTGTGCAGAAACACAAGGCTGCGCTATCCACATGGCCTGTGGGAACCCTCCCCATCCACTTACTCCTTACCCAGCAAACTTGCCTGTTAAATTGCTATTTTTCCTTTTTTCGACCATCAGCTGTTCTGTGCAGGGAGATTTAGATTAGCTAGAAAGCAGGAAATGGTTGGATTTCTTGCTTTCTAGCTAATCTTTAGATCTTCAGCTCTGCTTTTAAGCACAGCCGACCTACCCTTAGGACTGAAGGTTCTATTATTCAGTACAGATTCACAGCAAGCAAATTTTATGTGACAGACTGAGCTAGCCAATGGCAGATAGATAGATCTCTGAATGAATCTGTGAGCAACTCAATCTGCCTGCCTGCTTTGCCTGATTTTGGGTAAAAGTTGCTCTTTTTTATAAAAAAATCAATATTTATATAAATATTTATAATATTTACATACAAGCCATGCCCAGACAGTCACATGACCATCATGCCACAAATTAGGCCATGCCCACAGAACCAGTTAATGGTCCCTGGGATTTAAAATTATGAGTTTGGTGGTCCCCGAGTTCCAAAAGGATTAACCAATCCATTATCCTCCACTTAGAGACAAACAACCTACTCTCCAATAAACAATTTGGTTTCAGGAAAAAAACTATCCTGTAATCTGCAACTCTTACACTGCAAAAACATATGGACTACACAACCCAATCAGGGTAAAGCAATAGTCGCGATCTACATAGACTTCTGTAAAGACTTTGATTCAGTGGTACATGACAAACTACTCCTAAAGCTAAAATCTTATGGTATCTCTGGACACCTGCATAACTGGATAGAAGCATTCCTGTCAAACAAACAACAAATGGTCAAAATTGGGAGTGTCCTATCAAATTCTGTACCTGTCAATAGTGGTGTCCCCCAAGGCAGTGTTCTAGGACCAACTCTCTTCATACTCTACATAAATGACCTCTGTGATCATATTAAGAGCAACTGCGTTCTTTTCGCTGATGATCTAAAGCTGTTCAATACCACAGACAATACTGCTACCCTTCAAAAAGATCTTGACTATGTATCAGAATGGTCAAACAAATGGCAACTTCAAATCTCAACAAATAAATGCTCTTGTCTTACATATTGGCAAAAAAAACAGAAAATAAAATACAAGCTGAATAGTCAAGATCTTGTTGATGATCCAAGCTCTGTAAAGGACCTTGGAATACTCATCTCTAATGATCTAAGTGCTAGAGCCCACTGTAACTACATAGCCAAAAAGACATTAAGAGTTGTTAACCTAACCCTACATAGCTTTTTCTCTGGTAATATCACACTACTAACTAGAGCATACAAAACATTTGCTAGACCAATACTCGAATACAGTTCATCAGTCTGGAACCCACATTACATATCTGATATTAGCACAGTTGAGAAAGTCCAGAAATATTTCACAAGAAGAGTTCTCCACTCCTCTACCCGTTGTAGAATACCTTATGCCACCAGACTTGAAATTCTAGACCTAGAAAACCTTGAATTACACCATCTTCGGTCTGATCTAAGTATGGTATATAAAATCATACATTGCAATGTCCTACACAAGAGCACACAATAGATACAAACTCAAGGTTAACTGCACCAAACTTGATTGCAGGAAATACGACTTCAGCAACAGAGTGGTCAATGTCTGGAATACTCTACCTGACTCTGTAGTTTCTTCCCTAAACCCCAGAAATTTTAACCTTAGACTGTCTACTATTGACCTCACCCCTTTCCTAAGAGGTCTGTAGGGGGCGTGCATAAGCGCACCAACATGCCTACCGTCCCTGTCCTATTGTTTCTTCTGTTTTTCTTATATGTACCCATTTCATGTATTCATAACTATGTATATACCTATACCTATTATCTTGTAAGCAATTGACAAATCAAATAAATAAATAAAAAATAATAAAAAGGTTGACGACCCTTAATCTGTAAGGCACCAAGAGTCAACTCTGATCTGAAGGCACTAAAAAAAAGTCTTTATATTACCACATGTATATACATTTACTGTAACAATTATTTCCAACAGGAATTATAAGACTTTCAAACTACACAAAATAAGAATTGCTCCAAAGCACAAAGTTCTAGTATAGGACCCCTTTCTAAAAAGCAGATTTAAAACAGATTTTACCTGAATTCACCCAACACTACAAAGTGTAAACTATGATTAAGTAACCAACCAAAACATGTTGGAGCATGTTGAACTAACCAAGCCATCAGGCTAAGACATACTGGGGGTTGCTTCTTATGGTTTAGCATGCATGAAGACTGCCAGTGCAAACTGTTCACTATGTTTAACTGTGGGCCAAAGACAGTCTTTCAATGGGAATGGTCATAGCCAAGCAAGAAACGGTCCGCCAACATTACAGCCAAACTGCTAAGGCCTCCCCCATAAAGGTTGTAATACAGTTAAAGAAACCCTTAATATCAGTTTCTTAGTAACTTGCAACTTTAACCTACAGAGGACAGAAATTAGTGGCAACTGAGTAGCAGGTGAAGGAATCCCTTGATAAATTGTACTGAGCATTATAACAACCTTCCTTCCCCCCCAACCCCCCAGCAATTATCTGTTAATTACACAGTGCCATAACGTCATGGTTACAACCCAGTGCCACTAGCTAGAACAATACATGCCAAGTGCCACTGTTTTGAAAGTCATCTGATTTGGGGTGACTAAGAGAAGCAGCTTCACTCCCATCTGATCAAATGTCAAGTCACTGGTCCATTGGCAACGTCTGCCAGAAAAAGGACCGTTTAAGGAAAGCTCGGGAAGGGGAGAGGAGAGGGAATAGAAGCTGTTTCCACCTGCTGGGAGTGGGATGGCCTCCGTCACCCGGGGTTTAAGACTAGCCCGGGGTTTCATTTAGATGCGCAAAAAGGCAAGTCAGGGTTGCGGAGGAGGGGAAGCGCCCTTTTCTTTTCTAGCTGATGTCTTTCAAAAAGTTTGGGGAGGGAGGGAGGGAGGAAGTGCACCTAGAAGAGACGAAGAGGAGGGGGCGGGTTTCTACTACACAACCCCGGAGTACGTCAGGGCCCGGCGCGCAAGCATATCACCGCCCCCCCTCCCAATCCATAACTCAACGCTACGAAATCTCTCAGGGTCCGCAACAGCCTTGCGAGGAGCTCCGCTCTGAGGCTGGCAGGCGCCTTCTCTCCCCCCCACCCCCCGCAACCCGCCTTAGCCTGCCTTCCCTTCCCTTCCCTTCCCTTCCCTTCCCCCTTTCAGGGGGTCGCCGGTCAAACTTCTCCCCCGGACCAGGTGTGTGCGCGGACGGAGTGATCGAAGCCCCGGGCTTACCTCCTTCTGCTTGGGGTCTTGAGGATAGACGTCGGGCGGCCCCAAACGGGACCGTTTGAGAGGTCTCTGCTCATAGCTGAGGAGCCCGAAGGCGGCCATGATCTCTCATGTTAGCCGGCAAAATGAATGAGAGAGAGAAAGAGAGAGAGAGGAGTTGGAGATGGAGCAGCCTCTGAGCACCAGGGAGCAGCACTTGGCTGGCAGACAGACTCCCCCCCACCCCCCGGGGTCTGGCTCTTTTCCTACGTGGGAGACATACATAGAAACGTACGCGGGGAGAGCAAAGGGCGGCTAGGATGCGGCAGGATTGCAACCCAACCCGCCCACAGAGGCAAATATCACACACACACCCCACACGCGCAGACAAACATCCCTGGAGAGCTGGGCAAGGGCGAGGGGGATGTCGCGGGGAGAGAAATGACAAGAAGGACCAGACGACTGGGTGAAAAGGGATAGCGAGGCCAGGAAGAAAAGAACCCTCTTCCCTCCCCCTAAACAGAGATGAATCCTTCCTTCCCAATAGTTGTAGGATTTCTTCCTTCTCTTGCCCTAGGCCAAATTTCACAGGAAAAAATAAAAATAAAGGCTTTTTAAAAATAAAATAAAATAAACCAGGGATGTAGTTCCCATGACAGCAGACACCAATGTCGCAGTAGCTCATGAGGTTTCAAAGTCACAAGTTCAAATGTCCTCTGCACAAGATCACATACCTCTGACCTAAAGTAGGTATCATGCCTAATTACATGCCCAGCATTGCTACGGTGGGATAAGGGAATTCCCTTTTCTCCTATAAATTGGGGGCAAGAGAGTAAAATCAGTCTAATTGATCTTGACTATAACTTGCGTTAACCAAAATATCTCAACCATATCCGTTCCTTAATTAAATGCATTGACTGGCGGAATGTGTTAGCATGTGTTGCTTTTGGACGCGCATGACAAATTAGCATTGCTTTTTTTTCCCCTACACTGGAAGATTGTGGAGAGAAACTACTTAATGGAAATACAAAAGGTGACACAAGGTATTTAAGGAATATTACATAAACTATGTTAATCAGTTTTGAGTGTTTACTTACAGAAGTTCCAGTGAGGCCTGTGTTATCTGTATTTGCTACATCACTGCAACAAAAATATATGATGCAATCAAATAGTTAATCAATGCCCAGGATGCAGGATATCCTAAATGAAAAGATTTGTTCTCTTGGCAACCAACCAGCCACTCCAACAGATTGCAGCTGCCTTGGCTAGTGGTTCTAAACAGCAACACAAGAAATGCACTGCCCACCATGGCTCCACACCAGTACACCACCAAGTTTGCAAAGCTTCCATCATTGTTCACACTGACTTCCCAGAGAATGGGCATAGATCAGCCAGAACTGGGAAAGGAAGAGACTTACGGGTGATCTTTCTCTCTGTGACACCCTGTTTGTAGTGCCATAACCAAAAGCATTGATTTGCAGATTTAAGACCTTGTACTCTCCAAATCTCCAAAAAAAGATATCAAGAAAAAATGGGATGATAATTCCGTAATGGAATTCCATTACGGAGAATTTAAGGAGAAAGAATCTCGCCAGTGTGTATTTTGGTAACATGGTAGTTTATATTGGTAAGTGTGCGTTCATGTATTTGTTATCTATTCTAGGTTGCCCAATTTCAAAACAACTCTGGGCAGCTTCAAGATTAAGAGAAAACAAAAGGAAAGCAACACTATATAAAAAGCAAAACAGTGACTCCAGGGGAATAAACAAACATTCCCTTCAAATGCCCCAGGTTCCAAGGCCTGGGGAAAGGACCAAGTTTTTAGAGCTTGCTTAAAGGAAAATAGGTTATTAGCCTGGCCCCAAATTTAGAAGCCGTTCAGTTCCTATATATATCTAATGCCCACTATGGAGAACTCAGACAACTCATCCATTTTCCTGTAGGCCTAAATGATAAATCATCAGCTGGGCTGTGGGTGAAAGATTTCTGCTTCCTGGCCATAAAGATAGTTGGAGAAGTAACTATTTTTAGAACAAGTGTTACAGAAGATGGAACATCCTTCACCCCAATCCTTTCAGTAATTCTCTCTTAAAATTAGAAAGAGGTGTTTTTTTTCCTCCCTAACATTCATCCATTCTACTTTTCTATAATTATTCTTTCCATTACACCATGGAGGAATAGAACCCAAATCTTCATCAGTGGGTTACACTTTCAGATATATTGTCTCCGTTTCTGGGTGATTAGTTTTGGGAAGGAATTCAGACAAATTAGAGCAAGTTCAGAGAAGGACAAGCAATACGATCATGCAGAAGGATTGTAAAAGCAGAGCATGGTTAAGCCGTGACAAGAAAAGGTATTTGAAAAAGTATCTTCTCTGCTATTCTAAATTACAGGACATGAAATAAACAGGTTAAGAACTGACAGAAGGCACTGAAATGGTGGCACCTTTATGGCCAACCATAAGCAGAAAAAGGAAGAAGCAATAAAGAAATATGCCTCAAATTAACACTTGATAGATGTGAAAGCCTTGGAAAAGATATTCAAATCTCATGAAGCGTCTATACCAGGGGTCTCCAACCTTGGTAACTTTAAGACTTGTGGACTTCAACTCCTCATAAACCCCTGGTCTTTACCTACAAAGATCACAATCATGAATGGTATTCCCTGTGACCTACATAGGTATTTCTCTCTGTGGAAATGAAAGTTGGAATCTGAAGCAGCAGATAAAAAGTGTATTGGCTCTTTTGAATTTGGTGCTGGAGAAGACTCCTCAGAAATCCATGGACAGCCAAGAGAAGAAATGATCTGATGATGTTACCTAGTTTGAATAATGAACCATGTGCAGGAGAATAACCGAGCTCAGAGAGCACCTAGGGCCCCTCGAAAAAATGATCAAACAAATCAAACTAGAGTTCTCACTCAAGGCACAAATGAAAAGGTTTAAATTATCCTACATATTATGCAAAGACTGAGATCCCTAGAAAATACTCTAATGCTGAGAAAGATGGATGGAAAGGGAAGAAGATGACCAGCAGCGAGGAGGATGGAGTCAGTTATAATAGCAGAAGGTGTCCCATAAAAAGACTTCAAAGATCATGTTGGAGCCATATTGTCACAGAGAAAATCTTTCTGTCATTGCTAAGATTAGACAATTATTTGATAGCACATAATTAAATCAAATGAAAAGGAAGAGCAATTCAACAATAAAGTCAGTCATCCAAAGAGTTCTTGCCACTGTTCTTTTTTTGAATCTCTATTAATTCCTTATTTGCTGGATAGAATTTTCTTTTAAAAAATATCTTCCTCCTTGCTCACAAATAATTCATAATGTAAATGAGCAGAGAGACCTACACATAGTTTTTACCATGGAGGTTTACAAGGAGCAGTATGTGATACATAACTGACAGCATGATGCATGCAGTAAGTTTTATAATTTGTTACAGTTGTGTGTGCAACTGACACAAGTTGCCTAATTTGTCTCAATATACACACTACACTCTTGTAATTCTATGAGAATTACAATGGTTTTTACAGATGCACCTAGCACAGATATCTAGATTATAAATGAAGTGGGTTCTCCTTCTCTCTGCTTATACTTCTGCCTACACAGGTGTAGGTCTAAATGTGTGGTCCACATCTGAACAACCAACCATGTTCTTCTTAGATCAGGATGATTATATATCTAATATTTAAGGAAATTGAAATCCAGTGCAGCTGCTCTACATATCACCTGTAAATAAAGCTAATTAATAGGATGCTACCAATCATAAATTTTATTATTTTGGAAAACCCCTGATATAATCTTATTATGATCCAAATCATAAAATTAATACTAACTGGTTATGAAGAAGTATACTCCCAATCTATGCTTGGCTTCTTGGATGTCAGTCCCTGTTCTCAGGTGACCTCTCTCAGTCAATTGTTATACAGAGGTGTGCAACTGAATAGTAACTATGCACTCCTCATAGAAATTGAATATTATAGGGGGGGAAAAACCCACTGAAGAAAACTATTATTCTGGGTCATAAAATGCCAACATTCCTGTTGCAAGGACTGCATCAGATAGTCAGAATCAATGATCCTGAGACTAGACTTCACAATTACTATCCCAATGCATGTTCCATAGCTTCACTTGCCCCCAAATGAGAGGGTCACAGATCCAGAAAATAAAAGTGTGATTTAAACCTTGCTTTTGCTTTATATGTTTTGCATTTTACATTTTCCAATAATTGAAGTTCTCCACCAACTATATTTCTAGTGTCTGTAATAAAACTAGATTATCAGGAACGATGTCCTTGAATCTCTGTCTGTGAAAACCTCTAGTACCAGCTTTGGACCATAAGAAGTCTAACAATGCCTGAAATAATGTTATACAGTACCAGAATATATTTGGACGAGCAACATAGACTGCAAAAAAATCCACTTTCAATTTAATCTTGTTACTCAAAAAAAAAATATATGAAATGATCATATTGCAGGCCACACAAAAAGCTGCTACCACAAAAGACAAACAATTCAATGTGGAATTTTATATAAATTCCACATTGAATTGTTTGTCTTTTCTTATTATGGTTGTTCACACAATCAGACAGATGTTTAGACTAGATTTGGCAATTTCATCCATCTGTTCAGTCCTTTCCAAGGACCTGGGTTAGGCAGACTTCTTTGCTTGATGATATTAAGGGTTTATAAATATAATTATTTCATAATCAAGGAATAACAGTACAAAAAATAAAAATGATCACATTTTTGACAGGTATTTTTGTAAATTCAGATGCCAGTCAGGAAGCTAGGAGTTATCCATATAATGTAATTATAAAATGACCAAATGTGGGAAAGCACATATACAGTTAGTACAGGTGAGATATTGAATACCAATAAATATTTAATCTGCTCGTATTCCACCTAATACATCAATACATAAATGAATGTCTTTGTAATAATCTACCTATATTGATAATTACCTTTCTATATTTTATTTTATTTGAATTCTTTTCTTGATCCTGCTGTCCTAGTGTATTGACACATCTACAAAAAATACTTTTTTTCTTTGTTGTATCTGGTGTGTTGTATTTTAGATGGTGATCAGCTTATAAGCAAAAGTCCCACAAATATTAACATCA